ATTAAGTCAAAATTTTGATCTGAATGCTAGCTCTTAGTATTCATTTTCAAAAAACCTACATAGCTTGCTTAAATAGCTCTAAAGAGAACCGAAGATTCGGTTGACCCGGCGCGGTCTGTGCTGCCATATTTCGCTCTAATGAATCTTTGTTTTTCTAGTTCATACGCCGTCACTTACCTTGTCCTTCAATAATTGGTGTTCTCCTTTGCAGGTCTTACCACTTCCAAAGGAGTAACTTCTAGTTCACTTATTTTGTCATGCATCATCTCCGTATTCAATGGGATATTATTCCTGACTGATATCTAGTTTCTCGCTTGCGGTTTATAACTCTTCAGAAATTCCGACTGCTTTTCATCACAGTCTGCTTCCGATTCACAACACATCCTATTCGTCCTATTATTGTTGGGCTCATGTTTCAGTTTTGATGGCTAGTTTGGCTCTAGTCTCATAAGACTCATCCTCCATTCCGATGGTCAAATATCTGGTGTAATCCTTACAATGGATTTGCCCTGCTCGTGCGTCATATGAGTTTTTCACCCATGGTCTGCGCGCGAACCTACCAAAAGATGATTGTCCGGTATAAGACTGCCTTTTTTGCGCAATTGGTCGTTCCGAGAGACTCAATCTGATGCCGCCACTAGGTCGGGGACTTCGTGGCCTTGATTTACTAATCGCCCGTGAGACCGTCTCGGTGTATTTCAGATCTGATGTAAATTCAACAGTGCTAGCTCGGTCCGTTTCTTAGGTCTGTCCTGTATGTGCCGCGATCTGGCACCAATGCCTTTTGCGTCTTTCAACTCTTGTGGGCAGACAATTTACGTGAATAAATAAATTATATATTCGGCCATGGGCAGTTTCCAACGAGGGTTATGAACATGGCCTACATCCGTCGAGCAAGTGGGGAGGCTAGAAGAGTATAGACAAACAGGTTGATTCAGGGGGCTCCAATTCTCCTAGTTCGGTCGGTAGCGCCCGGGTTGGTCTGGACAAGTTGGGCCGAACCTCCCGGCCCTTTGCTTCGGTGGGCTATGAGCGGGTCCAAATGTCTGACTCGCTCAACGCCTGAGGGGGCCGAGTCCGCAGAAACGAATTCGGATGATATGGTCGAGTACCTGGCCTACATTCTTACAACTGCCTGACACGTCACCTGTTGATATGGTGATAGTCCTTATGACGGGGATAATTCGATTTTTGAGTTTATCACAGAAACTCCGGGCTTAGGTCCTGATGGTGGCAACGGCGTAGTCTGTAAGGAAGATAAGATGGGGGGTTTTCTTTGTCCTACTTAATTAGGTCTGTCCAGGTTGGGCTATTATTCGTTGGCAACGCGAATTTGTGACCTGCAACCAGAGCCCTGACACTTAAAATAAATTATTTACAATATGAAGCTAACTTTGGACATGCGTCATTTGCTGCAAATGACCTCAGTTTAACTCGTAATAGGTTCGGTTCGCTTAATATAATAGGCTAAACTAAGTAGTGGAAGAATTAAAGACCGGGATAGTATGA